CGCGCTAGATTTTCGGGGGGAAATGGCGGCTGTGGCAGTGGGAGTTGATTCGAAAAATCATTCGTCTTTTTGTGGGGGAAATAGTGCATGAATGAGTGAAATATTTGGAAGTTATTGAGTCGACGACACGAGGAAATCGAGGGAATCGGAGGTTTTTGGGTTTTTAGTTTAATGACAGTGATTTTTGGGATTTGATTCTCTCGTTTTCTTGGGGCATCCATCTACCGGCAATTCGTGTTTATTCTCGTTGTATTCCTTTGTTGTGGAAGACGATGGTTGAGATTTCTCAGTGATTTGAAGGTGCTCGAGAGAGATTCGTGGAAATTGGGGGGAAAAGTGAGTGCGAATAAATAAATTCGAAACAAATCGACTGATATTACCTAGATCAACTTAAATCGACTTCAGTGCTGTCCCTGGAACGTTAATTTCAACATAAAAAATTCGATTTTATTGCTGATAACAATGTGATCATAAGGATAGTTAATAATTTTCCAGGATTTGTGTCTATTTTAATGTGAAAAAAAGTGCAAGTGGCTGGTGTATGTGAGAAGTGCAACAAGTGTTGTGTACCAAAGGCCTTTATTTTATTTAGTGTTGATGATGTGAAAATAAAGTGCAGTGTTCTCGATAAATAAAGGATACATTTATGGATTACCACAAGGATATAGCAGGTTCCCGAGTTGCAGACCGGTGAGTGCTAGACAGTAATCAACATCAAAATTACCAATATTTCGATAAAATGCAACTAATTGAGGAAATAATATTAAATTTTCCTCAAGTACAACTAATTACTGCGCCTTTAAAATAATCCGTCACCGGTATTTATACCGGGTTAATTAATTCAATAACAATTTAATATCTGCAACTCGGTTCGGAATAAAAACAACTCATAAAATTTAATTATAAATTTATTTTTAAAAAAGTTAAGTACACATTCGGTGTATATAAATATTCTCTCACAAAAGTCGTCGGGGCAAGGTGCAAGGCACATAATATACCACTAAAAGTGAATGAAAATCTATAAAAATGTTTATGTACAATGTCTCTCAACTCCATTGCACTACTTTACTCCCCAAAAATTTCAGAGTCCCATCGATTCACGATACATAATATGCACGTATCTGAATCATCGCTCCCTCAATTTTATTTCTTCCAATTGCATTACGCTAAACAAACCATAACAATACAATTCTACAAATTTTATATACAATTTATCTCTTCAATTATCCATCAATCGAAAACGCAGGTCAATATCCGATAAATAAATCTTGTGTTGCACAACCAAAAGTATCACCTCCGAAATTTTACATTTAGGCACTTGATTCACCGGTCTCTCAAACCCAGTGACTTCCAAAATTGATGTATTGCTTTGAACATAACTTTGGGGACTACGAATACGTGAAAAATGAAACAATACTGTTAGCTAAAGCGGCGGTATGGCTTCTAGCGATCTATTGAGAAAAAATATATAATCTCGAGGATGTCCAAGTACTTTGGCACTTAAATTTAAACTTCTCAATCATTCTTCGATCTAAAATCTATTTATTTCTAAATTACCAAAAAAATACTCGAATTTAAAAATCGATAAAATCCCAAGTATGTGGATAATTGCAATGTTTGACGATATATGAAACGTCGGCAAAAAAACGTTTTCATAAATTCAAATGACAAATCCAAAGCCTTCATTTAGAAAAAAGACACTTAAAAAAAAATTAGTCCAATGTACCGAGTTTTCACACTCTTGAAAATCCATGAATTTTCTGAAAAATTGCATGACGCAATTTAATTCATGAATTGACTAATAAAAAATTGAAAAATGTGTAGTACGATGCGTACCAAACAGCAGGAGGTGCTTGGATATCCTCAAGAATCTAATAAAAGCCAGATAGTTGCTCGTTGATAATACTCGAGAGTGATGTGTTAATCCTCAAATGACCATTGAACCTACTGTACTATTTACACATTGAGGAACACCTTACAAAAATAATTAATCTCATGTAACTGATTAATCTCCCAGAGCTGCCAAAGTCACTCGAATAATCGCTATTAATAATCTTAAAAAAGAAGTCTCAGGTTGTAATGATTGAGCGTTGAGTCATCAATCTCTCAATACCTCGCGAATAAATATTAAAATGGCTTATGATAGTTGAATGGAGTTCAGAGATGATGATCGATGGATTCTGTTCCTGATGTATCACTCCGAACAGTATGAGAATTGGGCCCAGTGGCAGCTGTTGTCTCGCTGGCGCTCGTGTTGTTGTTCTGGCCATTAACGAAAGACGTCATCTCCATGGATGCATATTGTCCGCTCTGTTCAGAAACATGCGTGTTGTGTTGTTGTTTCGTTGGCTGATTTACTCAGATCTAGTAGAGGGAGGCGTGTAGGCATAGTAACGTATCGTGTGTAACGTGTTGTCGTGTTCTTCTTTTTTTTTTTTTTTAATTTTATTGGAGAAAATTTAATGAGGATTCAAAGCTCGAGGAAGAGAGTTGTCAGAAGCTTGGAGAGTCATCTCGGGTGAATGATACATTTAGCAGATAAGAGAAGCAGGGTCTTGTTAGGATTGACTCTCGGGTTTTGAAGGCTTTATCAGCGATATGAAATTACGAACCTTAGGCAGGGAATTCATGTTATTCGTGGCTTGAGTCGTCTCTGACGTGTCGAGGACAGCTAGGGGATTCGACGTTATGTTGATCTTTGAATCCGTCACTCCACCGTTCAGCACTCGACCATTCGTCATGTGTTTTCCTGATGATTTAATTGATTACTCATTAGCAAAATCAGTGTTAGTCATTTTCTATGCCATTTCCTCTCAAACATCTTTATCACATTCCACTTCCGTTGCAATGAAAAATAGGATGTAATCGATTCCGAATATTTATTTTTTCGGCACTAATCACTAGTCTATGAATTACAAGAATATCTAAATTATCATCGAAGAAAGTAAGAAATTTACCCTGATTTTGAGATGCGTCTCTATTTTGTTTAATACTGCTCCTCTTATAAACCACGACGATGGCCCCCATGACCCCGAGAAGAGCAGCTCCCCCGAGTGCCCCTCCAATGATAGCATAGAGACTCCCGCTCTGTCCATTGCCAGTGCTCTTCGGTACATTATCAGGAACAGCAGTTTCCACCCTCGGTGGTTCGGTCACAGCCTTAAGAGTCTTCTCCCTGATAATCTTAGAGAATTCCGAAGCAGCCCCAACCGAAAAACTCTGAACCTTGAACTCATACGTTGTATCCGGTTGAAGATACGAGATAGTAATATTCGTCGAATTTTTCCCTTCGACAGTCGTCTTAATGTAATCCCCGGCAGTTGTTGAGGCCCTATGATTCACATAAAACCCATCGATATCGACTGATCTATCCGGATTCTGCCATATGAGGAGAACCCTGTCAGGTCCCAGGGCCTCAGTATTCGTCAGCAACGGAATGGGCATTTTGTTAGACTCAAAACCCTCGCCTTTGGTCAAATGAAATTTCACAGAGTTGGGACTCAATTTGTTATC